GCTCGTTAGGAAAAGGACATTCCCTCAGAGCTGGTACTCGGCCTGCACCGGGGCTGTCGTGACCACCACATCTCCAAACCTTTTCCATTGAGAACAGGAACAAGGCCAGGGCAAATACCGGTGTGATGGGGGGAAAATGGAACCAAAAACCCAACCATGTTGCTCTGTCCTCATCCTGGTGCCCCCAGCAGCACCACACAAGCTGGGTCCTGGCTTCCTGCGCTGTGCAGGACCATCCCTGGCCGCTGCCTCAGGCTCCCATGTCTCACCTCTGCAGTGTTGGGTGCATCCCATGAACTGACAGGAAACCTCTTCTGCTTCCAAAACCCACGCAGGTCCCTGTGTTTTCCTGCTACCAATACTGCTGGTTACCAGTGACTTCTCATCGTGACTGCATTTAAATACATTGCCCAGTGAGGGTGCAGGAGGCTCTGCCTGTCCCAACGCCGCCTCTCGCATTTGCTGCGGTCACTGTCCCCTGCATCACTTCAGGGCTGCTCTTCAGAACAGATCCTGTGACACAGCCAACTGTTTTCTGTCCCCAGTCTCTCCCGCTGGAGAGGGGAACCATTCCCCAGCATTTCATAACCCCGAGATTGATTTTCCTCCCTCTGTGATCACTCTCTAATAGAATCTTTCCAGCGATGCTCTCTGCAGGACAAAAGCTTTCATCACGCAGTTTGGATGTGAATAATCAGCCTCAAGGTATGCAAACCCCCCACCGCAGCTCCTTCTCTTTTCCTTTCCTAAAACCAAGCTAAACTGAAAATTTCCAGGACGCGATGATTAATGACCAGGTGCATGGCAAAGCAGCAAGGCTTCGCTTCCCCTCCAAACCGAGTCCTTGTTGACTTCACAAACAACTGCCTCTTGCCAGCTTGCAAATGCAGCCCAGAAATAAATGTCTGCATGGCCAAGGAACAGCCTGCCCCAAAACCAGCACATCTGGACTAAAAGTGCATTTCGAGGCACCCATTTGGCCCACACGTAGTGAGGAAGCTGTTTGTAAAATGGCACAAGAAGGGATGCAGAGGTTTTTTCCCCTCAAGTTTATGGGAAGAAGAACATCGTGTGCTGCTGCAGTGTCAGTGAAGTGGAGAGACTGGTCCAGAATAATCCCTCTAGCACCACGTTCCCAAAACCACAAGAGGGGAAGGAAGCCTTGAGCATCAGCGAATCGATGTCGGGAATGCGGAGTACAGCACAGAGCTGAACTGGGGCTGGAAGTGTCTGGTTTTATTAGCACGGACTGGATTTCTGCTTTGGTTTCATTCCACCCATGTGCCCCTACTCTCCTATTTACTGCTCTGCCCATCTGAAATATTTGGCAGAGTCAAGACTGCAGAGCCAAACCACCTTCCAAAAGACAGAGAGCAGAGCAAAACCCTTCCTGAACCCAGACCAGCTCATCGCCCAGCTGGACTCCTCCGCGTTGCCCGCTCTCGCTCGCCGTAACAGCGTTTTATTGCATTTAAAACGTTGAAGAAAGGGGTTACCGCACGCCCAGGCTGGCTCCAGAGCAGCCACGGCGCTGCCGAGGGCGGCCGAGCTGCTGGCATTTTGCAAACCCTTTCCCTGGGGAGCACAGAGCGGGCTGCAAGCTGTGATCCTGCCCTGGAAATGAGAGCAGCCCGGCTTTCCGCAGGCAAGCACTGGAGGTAATGGGATTCTGCGAGAGTTATGAATTTTAAACACTCCTGTGAGCTCTGTCATTTCCAGCTGGGTGAGAGCTCTTGTGATTGAACGGGAACGAGGGGGCTTTGGGGAACTGCTCCCTTTGGTTCCCTTATCCTTGGATTCATCCTCAACCGAGCCACACAGCTCCTGTGAGACACGCACAGCCCAGACACCGGCCTGGAAAGGAGGAAAACTCCAGTTCTAGCTTAAGATGGAGAGAAATTTCCTAACGTTCCTGTCACGCTTTAGAAAATCCAATTCCCTTACCAGAAAAAAGCAAATGAATCTGTTAATTTTCTAACGAGCACACGGCTTTAAACGGCCTCAGGGGCAGTTACAACCCCAGGAGGTTTCAGCCAAATCACCGTTACCTCTTCCAGAAAACACAGAGCAGAGCAAAACATCCCTTCAGCCAAGGCAAGCCTGTCGCCCAGGTGGGCTCCTCTCTGCTCCACTGCTCTCTTTCCACTGATTTCTGAAGGCCAGGAAAATATGGGCACGTTTACTGCTTACAAAGAAACCAGAGAGGCTGCCCCCAGCTTTCCTCTGCTGCTCCCTGCAAGGACCCGTTCCAACAGCCAGGTCCTGCTGCACGCTGCCTGTGCTGCCATCCCCAGACGGGTTAGGCTGTTTGGAAAAGCACAGCCAGTTTCAAATGATGCTACAGCAGCAGACACGACTGGGAGAGTTACTTGGGAAACAACCCAGTTGAACCGGCTTGATATCAACATCCCAGTTTTGCTCCATAAAAGAAATGCAAATAATCCATTACATGCAAATCAGCCACACAGTGCATAAATACAAATAAAATTTCCTGTCTGTCTGTGCCACAGCTCTGTGCAGAGCTGTGTGCATCACCAGAGTCAGACACCGGGACAGAAAGGGGCTGGTGAGCGGTGTTGGAAGCTCAGTGCTGCTACAGCTGCTGATCCAGGAGGAAATCAGAGAGGGGACTGCAGGCAGCGGGATCAGCCATGGAACTTCTCACACAGAAGCAGGTTTCTATGAAACATTCAGTCCTTTTGCTTTTAGGACACAGCCTCTTCTTTTTTATGTCCTATTTTTACCACTGCACACATAAACCTGCACAGGACCTGAGCTGGGTAAGGAAGCTTGGATGAATAACACAGCCAAGGGCTGTGTTGAACAGAAATGGGAGCCACACGAGGAATGTGCAGCTGGTGCCAGTGCCCCGCTGCTGTGGCCATGGGGTGGGGACTCCTCCCTTTCACCCTCAGCCAGTGAAGCCGCAATGGATGTAGAATTCCTGTATTTTTTGTGTATAAACTCCTCCCAGGACCCTGTCCATGGCTGTGAGGTGGCAGCTGGAGCCAAAGCCCTCTGGAAATGAGGGAGGGCTCTGCTCTGCCTGCGGCCTCGCCAGGTGCACGAGCAGCGCTGGATGAAGACCCAGCAGAGCCAAGATCCAAACTTCCCACAACGGCCAGTGCAAGCAGGTGAGGAAACGCCACCCCAGGGGAAGGGCAGGAGGGTTTTGCTCACCTATGAGCGAGTTGAGGGAGGAGTAGGAGCTGACGCGCCTCATCTTGTCGATGGTCTCGAAGGACAGGATGTACTCCTCGTTCTCAGGGCTGCCCAGGGTGCTGCTGGCGCTGCTGCTGGTGCTGAGGTTCCCGGGAGAAAACGCAACAGAGCTCCCAGCTGCCAAAGGAAAGGGGCAGAGGCTGAAACAAGAACTGGTGAGGGAGCAGGTTTACCCGGGAATAAATCCTACAGTGCTCAATGAAGGTGTAGGCAAATCCACAACGTCCCCTTTTAAACATGGAACGTTTAAAATACAGAGCAAGCATCAAGAGATCAGTAATGATTCAGTAAAAATCCATGTATGTTAGGTACCTTTTCAGTCCCCAAACTCTCAGAAAAATCAATACTAATGACCAGAAGATGAAATCTAATTATGAGGAGGCTTCTCATCTAAGCCCGTGGAGCTGGATGGCCTGGGCTGAATGTGAGCCCCAGCTCGTGTTGTTTTGCCCGTGGTATTTCCTGGCTTGCAGGAGCGGGGGCAAGAAGGGGCAATCTAAAACAGAAGGATTCTGCGAGGTCTCTTACATTCTTCATTCAGGCTGAGGTTCTGCAGGGACTTGTTGAGGTTTCGAGCCGTGGTGACCGCTCGGATGTTGCCGTAGGAGCTGACTGAGCGCAGCCTGGGCGTGCATGGACCATCTCGCACCGGCGTCAAACTCCCGCCCTCTGCGGATGCAAAAACCCGGCAATTACAGACGGAACCAAAGCCATCACGGCCACTTGGTTATTTCCCAGCAAATACACAACCCAAATACCACCAACGTGAACACCACGGACACACTGCCCCTTAGGCTAAGGCAGAAGGAGGTATGACAGAGGATGCTCTGTGCATGTAATGAGCAAGGACCGCATGTCTCTGCTGCTCAGGCTCTGGTGCTGGTCCATCCCATAAACCCAGGAGAGCCGAGCTGTGCCAGCGCCTGCAGAGGACCCAGAGGCACGAGGGCTCCTCTCCAGGCCGCTGCCCAGGCGCCGTGCTGGGCCGTGCTGCTGCAGCAGACACCGGTCAGGCAGCACCCGCAGGCTGCTGTCTGCTCCTGCTCATTAAAATCCTGCTAAGTTTTCTCATTATAGAGAGTTACGAAAATGCTGCTTTCCTGACCAAATTTCGGGCTTGGTTTCACAGCTCATATTCACCCGTGACCTGGATCCTTCTCACTTCCCAAGCTATTTTATCTCACTGCAGAGGTGGCTGCACTGTGGCGGTGGGACCAGCGCTTCCAGTGCATCCTCCTTATAAAAATACTTCAGGGCTCTTTTTTGGATAAGGAAAAGCAATATATAACCTGCATGTAATATTTATTTCCTGCAGCAAAAAGGACACATGTGGAGAAGTTTATTTTTCAATATGATTGAATTATTCAGACAATAGGGAGATTAAACTGCTCACTGCAGAGACACCACGTGCTCTGGTCTCCAAGTTCCCACTGCAATAGTCCCGTTATCCTGCAAGATTTCCAATGCACTGAGCAGCTGAAGAAAATGTGAGGTTAGCAACAATTTCATTAGGGCTTTTCATTCAGACCCAGCAAAAGGGATGAGGCCACAAGTACAGAGCACAAAGTACGGTTGGTTTCTCATCAGGCCAACACGATGCTGAAGTTTCAGGTATAATCTGAGGGGGAAACAAGGTCTGGTAAGGTGTGTACTGCCTTGCAAATAGACTTCAGTCTTGATCTGAAGGGAACCCCTTTGAATTTGACAGGGGTTCAATCTCTACCGCTTCCCGGTGAGCTATGGCTGTGTCTTACATGGACACTCAGCGGAGGATGCTTTTCTCCAGGGCAATATATTACAGCACTAAACAAACACCAGAGCGACTCCCACCACCTCACTCAACTCGGCGGCAATGGTGCTGTTTGACAAATCACCACCAGCAGCAATTCAATAGCGTTGGGCAAACTGCTCCAATAAAAGTTGCCAGGTGCTTTCAGGCCGCGTTTCCTGCCCACGCCGACGCAGAACACCGACCTGTGGCAGCTGGAGAAGGGAGAGGGTAATTCTTCTCCTCCTCCATGAACTGCAAGGCGACGGTGCAGAAATTGCTCTCGTACTGAACCACCAGGTGACTTAGGGCCACCACCAGCTCCTGTGGGAAGAGGAAACAGGTATTTCATGGTTACGCAGGTGAGGAGCAATAGATCGAAGGCAAACACAGAACAATATGGTCACTAACGTTGATATTAGTGAGTAATGTTTTGAATCCTACGCCGAACCACTGAGCTGGTCAGCAGCAAACACGAGAACGGTGCTGTCGTCCTGTGAGGGATCCCCAAGGCCAGGCAGGACGGGGCTTGGAGCAGCCTGGTTTAGTGGGAGGTGTCCATGCCCGTGGCAGGGTGGGACTGGGGGAGCTTTAAGGTCCCTTCTAGCCCAAACCATGTGTGGTTCTGTGATCAGTCCATTCATTTCATAGCTGCAGCTTGAGAGCCTGAACTACCAGGGTGGGTGGGCAGGGTGGGGAAGGTGCAGATCAGACCCTCAGGTCGGTACCGCTCGCTAGGCGCTGGGAAACAGCAAACCTGAGGCTTTGGTTGCTGTTCTCTGCTCAGGGGACTAATCTCCAAAGGGGAGATTTATGAATCTCAAAGAGCATACAGTGTGACACGCCGTTCTCTCCTGAATTAAACTGATTAAATGCTGGGACGAGACAACAAAAATTAATCCTCACAATGCCGCTGACAACTGTCAGGGTATTGATGTGCCAGTTAGGTAAACACAAGCGTTAGGACACCCAAGTACACCCATCAGGAGCAATCCAGGACGTCAAAAAATATTTCATGTACTGCTGATGTACAATGGCACATCAGAAATTGCAATTCCCCAAAGCATGAGGAATTACTCTGCAGCAGCACGACGTTTTACCGAGCAGCGCCCTCGCTCCCTCTCCTCCTCCTCCTCCTCCTCCTCCCCAGGGACTGCCACACGCCCCGTGTTTCCAGCAATGCATTACTGCTTCATTTCACACCCGAGATCCTGTACTGTCAGATTTCGCAATCAAACCAGTAATCAACAGAAGATCCTTAATGGAAGAGCTGCCCAGCAGGAGCTCTCAGCTTGTGCACCTGAATAGACTCCAGCGCCATTGCTCTCCTGCCTCATCCCCATCTTCCTATTGCCTTTAAATTAAAAACAATAACAGGACATACAAATTCCCCCAAAACCTTGAGATCGTGGCTCCTATCTCAGCCATGTGCTTAGAGGAATACGAGAGCTAAAGCAGAGGTTGCTGTTGAACAGCAGGAACACTTGGATCTGAACAGCAGCAACATTTGGATGTGAACAGCAGCCACATCAGCACCTGGACGCGCTGACAAACCGCCCTGTGCTGTATTTTTCCTGTCAGCAAGCTCCTTGCACTGCAGAGTAAAGGAAATGTTGTATGTGCATGGAAAAAGGGCGAGAGGATAAAGCAGCATCCCAGAGCATGAGCACCCTGAGCGTGGGGCTCAGCACCCAGGCCTCAGCCCCAGCAGGCGGGCGATGCTGCTGCTTGCACCGACATCACTGGTGCTCCTCAGGGACCGGTTAAAAGACTTCCCAATGAAACAGATACTCCCAAATGAGCCAAATCCAGGGCAAAGTCCATCAAATACCACACGCTCTGACCAGACTCGGTGCAGAGCTCCTCAGCACTGTGCGCCGCCGGCCTGGCCGTACCTTCCTGACCATGGGGCTCCCGTCGTTGATGAGCTGGGCCAGCATCATGGCCACGTTGTGGTCGATGGTGGTGGAGTGGTCGGTCCGCTCGGCCGAGTTGCCCACAAATGTTCCCAGTGCAAAGACTGCAGCACAGCGAACCTGTGAGACACAAACCCTCCTTATCGTTTCCCCTTTGTTTGCAGCCCCAAATTCACCGGGGGGATTTTGCAGCCCCACAAACGGCATCTCTGGAAACCCGGACTTCTGTGTCAGGTAAACAGCAAGAGCTAAACAGAAGCTCACGGAGAGTAAAACCCAAACCAGGCTCAGCAAAGCGCTGAGTTCTCAGTATTCACACAAGCAGGAGTATATTTAATTTCCCAGAATACCCGGTGACCTTCCCATGGGTGATTTTTCCAGCTGACGTTGCCTAGAATATTAATTATCGGGAATAAGGTACGCAGGGAGCTGCTGCCGGGCTGTGAGGCTGTTTAATAAGAGCTGAGCCGCCGTCTGCAGAGAAGGGCTTACGGAGAGGCAGAGGGCGATGGAAAATGGGAGAAAACAGCAGCTGAAATCAGGGGAAACTCTGAGCTCACGCAGAGGGAGCAGATGCTCGGTGCTCTCCCAGCCTCAGAGGAGGTGGAGGATGCAGGACAGAGCCTGAGGGTGAAGGGGACTCATCTCTAATCCCAAAACGGTGGTGGGGGTGTTCATGTCCAGGCTCCCACACCCGATGGGACCACACTGGGGCTGACGGGCTCTGTCACGGCACAGGAGCCGCTCCTCTCTCGGAGAGTTTGTCACGAAGGTAGAACACTCAATTAAAGGGGTATTTTCACACGTACCAGCAGGAGAACGGCTTTCATGCTCAGCCAAAAAGACTACAGGGGTTTTTGCAATACACAGTGCGCTCTGGGACTACAATTTTAACAAGCTTCTGATATGCAAGTAAGCAAAATTTGTGTTGTTTCCTAACTCCAGGACTTTGGGGCTGCGTGAACTCCCCCTGCACTGCTGCGGTGACTTCCCTTGCAGGGCTTGGATGCAGGGCTGGAGGAGAAGGACCTGGGGGTGTTGGTTGACAGTCGGCTCAACATGAGCCAGCACTGTGCCCACGTGGCCAGAAAAGCCAACGGCATCTTGGCCTGTATTCAAAACAGTGTGACCAGCAGGGCCAGGGAGGTGATCATCCCCCTGTACTCAGCACTGGTGAGGCCGCACCTCGAGTGCTGTGTTCAGTTCTGGGCCCCTCACTATCAGAAGGATGTTGAGATTCTGGAGCGTGTTCAGAGAAGAGCCACAAGGATGGGGAGGGCTCTGGAGAACAAGCCTGATGAGGAGCGGCTGAGGGAACTGGGCTTGTTTAGCCTGGAGAAGAGAAGGCTGAGGGGAGACCTCATCACCACCTACAACTGCCTCAAGGGAGCTTGTGGAGAGGTGGGTGCTGGGCTCTGCTCCCAGGTGATGGGGGATAGAACAAGGGGAAACGGCACCAAGCTGTGCCAAGGGAGGTTCAGGTCAGAGATAAGGAGGAAGTTCTTTACTGAGAGGGTCGTCAGAAGCTGGCACAGGCTGCCCAGGGAGGTGGTGGAGTCACCATCCCTGGATGTGTTTAAAGAGCGGGTAGATGAGGTACTTAGGGATATGGTTTAGGGGGTAGACAGGAACGGTTGGACGTGATGATCTCAGAGGGTTTTTCCAACCGAGTGATTCTGTGATTTGCAGTGCTTGAAGCAGCAGCAATAAGATTTCCTTTGAACCAGACAACACCAAGCTCTGGACGGCTCTGGTTTTCCATAGCCCTCTTCCAGAATTCGGATAATTGGACCGAAGTCGGGTTTTTACCTCCGGGATGGGGTCCGAGAGGAGGCTGTAGAGCTTCTCGTGCGCGCTGTCCCTCACGCCGCACCACCTGGCCGAGTCGAAGTTCTGCCAGATGCGGCCCAAGCAAATGGCCACCCACTGACGCAGGAGAGGATGGGGATCGTTCAGCTGCTCCAGGCAAATCGCAATCAGGTTTCCTTGAAGGCAGGCTTCCTACAACACAAATCAATGCCATTTATTTTGGCTGGCAGCTTCCCGCCTCATCATCAAAAAGAGAAGATTATTTCTGAAGCAGACAGGAAATCAAGAGAAACAAATTACGCAGCGGTTATATACTGATGCTGGTACAAAATGCCATTGGGAGCAGCGTGGAGGGAAGGTCAACTACACCCAGTCCTAGCTAGTTAAGCACTGGAAATGCTTCCTGTAATGCATAAAGCCTGGCTCTTCCTCATTGGAAATACTCCTTGCATCTGTCAGAGCCCCAGGGTTTATGGCTCATTCTGCACACCCTTCCCAAGAGCTTTGTCACAGCCACTGAGTCCCCATTTGACAGCAACCAGGCACTATTTCTGCAGGAGCCCATCAGGCGCTGCCCCCAGGGGCACTTCTGTCCTTAACCTCCGCTCCCAAGCGCCACGTATAACGAGTTTGTCACACCTCCAGGTCAACGTTTTCTTTTAATCCACTGAAAAACAGCGTCAAGCGATCTCCTGCTTCAGCCCCACAGTCCAGGGCTGTGCTTTAACGGAGCAGAGACAGTTTGACCCAAGCGGAGAAGAGAGAGGGGAATGAGGGATAAAGGAGGCTGGGACTCACCTGCCCGGTGGTGTAGTTGTTCACAATGACAGCCAGGATGAAAGCGGTCATGGTCCTGTGTTCAGCCTTAAAACAACACACAAGTCACTGTTACCTAGAGAGCAGGTCAGAGGACAACTCCATCCCACGCTTTCTGAAGCGCGAGGTTATTCTGGGTGCAGTTCGTGTGACATCAAAACAACAAACCCGAGTTCTCTCGTCGTGCAGCCCTGGCGCTGGACCCACCTGAGACACCATCAGAGCGTGGGTAGGATCCTCCCCGTGTGGAGGAGGCACACAAATACCGATATTACAGGAAACAGCGAGAAGCTGCTGCAGAGGGAACCGGGGAGGCTGCAGCGCAATTCGGCTGCCTCTGCACCCAGCGCCCAGGAGCCCCCAGCTCCCATCGGCACCACTGAATCATCCGGGCTTATTTAAGTGTGCACACGTATTATATAGAAGTTTGTTCGTATGTTCTGGCTCGGTTTGGCCGTCTCTATCACACGACCTGGCAGCAGCAGTTTTGGATCCCCAATGACCCCCTCTGGTAGAGCAGGGGGTGGCACAGGACATAGGGGGGGTCCTATGTTAGCACCGCCTGCGTCAGAGCAGCACCAGATCAGCTAAAATGGGGTAAGGAAATGCTATAGGAGTGTGAATAACGATGGTTTGTCCTTACTGGCATATAAGGGTCTGCCAAAACGGACAGGAAATACTTGTGGCCGTTGTCCTTCACAAGGTCGGCTTGGCACGACTGAAAAACGAGACAGAGAAACACACCGTGAGTACAGCAACACAAAAACGGGTTTTCCTCCAATAACGTGCGGCTCTCTCATGTCTTCATCCCTTTTCTCAACTCTCATTTTCATTTGAGAAGCAAAAGGAAGCCCAAGGCCCCCATGGGAGCTGTAACCCAGCATCTCAGCAGGAGAAGGGCCGAGAGGAGGTGTTGAAAGCCGGGAACCCTCTGCCACCTCCAATGCCACAGAAACAGGGGCTGAAAACTTCCCTGCTCTGGGGAAGAGTTGAACTGGACACCTCCATCCCACATTAAACCCTTATCAGTACTGAGAGCCAGCGAAAGCAAACCGAGGAGGAACGCGACTGCGTTTTCCCTTTAGGCAGCACAGACGCAGCTCTGCCCGCATCCTCGTAGCTGATGTTCCCGCTCAGGCAGGATGCAGGACCCAGCATCCCATGGACGTTCCCATCCCACCCTCAGAGCAGGACGGCTCTGGGACATAACCCAGCGCGTTTCTGTGGTGACCCACATCGCGGAGCGGTCACCAGTAAACCCGGAGGAGGATTTACTCATTCTTTATATATCCATTTGTTATATTCTGCCCAATCTCCTGCCCAGCGGGGACGAGCTTTTTAACAAGAAGATTTCAGCTCATCTACCCAGCGAGACCAATCTCTGCATTACTCGGCCGAGTGCTAACGCGGATGAAATCACCACAGCAGCAGCACGTAGTAACGGGATCCACCACGCACAGAGCCCACAGAGCAACTCCCGTCTTCAGAAGAGAATGACGCAGGGTTTCCCGGGTTTCGGCAGCAGCGAAGCACGCGGCGCACACCACGTTTCTGCTAACGTACCGACACAGGCTCCAGGCTGACACATTGGGGTCAAACCAAATGAACACGTACTAGGAAAGCCAAGATTTCAGGGAGGAAACACTGACTTGGCAATTAGCTTCCCCCGGTTCCAGCGTACGCTTCATGCCAGGATCATGTATTTTTTATCAGGCGTAGAAGGCAAAGGAGGGAACCGGCTGTTGAGAGGAAGGGGATGGCGAGGCAGAGATGCAAGAGCACATCCGAGTGCTGCAGGGAGTCAGGATGCTGGTTTTGGCATGCGGGGCAGGGTGGACTGATGCCAGGCTGCAGCTACCAGAGGCTTTCCTGACTCCTGTGCAATGCCACACAGAAACCAGGCTTCCCCCCTGCTTCGCTCTCAGCGTGGGCACTTCCTGCTCCTCACAAACCCAATCTCTTCGCTATAAGGTAGGTAAAGAGACACCAACAAATCCCATCGTCACACTGCATCATTACCCAAATATCTGAGGCTCAAGGGAGGGAAGCAACGTGCACAAAGCCAGCAGCCTTGCTCTGATGCTGCCTTAGATCCCACGAACACCAAGGAACAGGAAGAGCTTTTCCTGGAGGAACACAGCTCCGCTGTGAACAGTAACACAACAGGATCACAGCAGGCTGCAGGATCATAGCATCATAGGATCCAGGTTGGAAGGGACCACAGGGATCATCCAGACCAAGCTCTCGAGGTAAAATATGGTTTAAATGAGAGGAGTCAGCCCCTGTCAAGATGACTCTAAAAACTGACCAGAGTAGGGGAATTCACCACTTCCCCTGGAGATCTCTCATGGAGAGGTTATTCCAGTGTCTCACGGATAGATTATTCCAGTATCTCATGGATAGGTTATTCCAGTGTCTCATGGATAGGTTATTCCAGTATCTCACTGATAGGTTATTCCAGTATCTCACTGATAGATTTATTCCAATGTCTGATTGATCTCATGGTAAATAAATCTCTCCTGCAGTTCAATGGGAATCTCTCCAGACACTACCTGTGACCATTACCCCTCATCTTCTCCATGGGACTCCTTGTTCAAGGGAGTCTCCATCCTCTTGGTGCCACCCTTTATGCACTGGTCCAGGGTGATCAGGGCCTCCCTGAGCCTTCTCTTCCCAAGGCTGAACAGGCCCAGTTTTCTCAGCTCTTCCAGTGCTCTGAGCATCCTCGTGGCCCTGCTCTGGACCTTTCCAACCTGTCCCCATCCTTTTTAGATAGCTGGGACCAAAACTGGACACAGTGCTCAAGGTGCGGTCTGCCCTCTCCTTCCTGCACCCCTTGTTTGTCGGAGCCAGTGATGAAGCAAAACAGCAGCAAGAAACCCTACTATAACAATTAAGAGTATTTCTTGCTGTGGTTTTGCTTTAAAGCGCAGCCTGCCAAAGGAGCGGGGCAATACAACAGCACGGGAGCACCACGGATGGTGGGGGAGAGGACAGGGGGCAAAGAGCCCTCCCAGGGGGGCTCCACCACAAACCAGGGCATAAATCACCCCCGAACCTGCTCCGGGACAAACCTGGGGCTGAAGCGTCGGCCGCGGAGAGAAACGCATCAGAAATGAGCTCCTCAAGAGCAGCCTGAAGATGAATAGTTCTCATTTTCTTTGCTTTCCAAAATCCTCTTAGGATGTTAATGAAAATGTATTTATAAAGCTAAACCTGACAAGGCTAGATCAACAGCGGGGAAGAATTCCAACAAATTCAATATTCTTCTCCATGCTGAATTGGAGCAGATGTAACAAAAATAAAGCCCCAAACAGGCAAGATCTCACTTCCAGAAGCAGTTCAGACAAGTTCACCTCGGCTTCTAATCGTGCCCACAATGAACTGCAGACACCGCTCCTGATCACTTTGCACTGCTCAACCAGTTGCACCTGCAAACCACAGAGTCATACGTGTAATATCCAAATTTAGCTACAATTATTTACCTGCTTAATTACTTCTCACAGAATATCAGGAGTTGGAAGAGACCTCGAAAGGTCACCCAGTCCAGCCCCAGTCCAACCCTTCCTATTCAAGAGCCCACAAATCAGAGCCCGGGTTGAGGCCATCTTTAAAAATCAGGGCTCAGTTTTTAAACCCTAAAGGTTTTACATCCTAAACCACTGCAGAGGAGATCAGGATGATGGAGCCATGGCAGGAGCAACCTCCTTTCTGCGGGACACAAACATCAGTGTGTGCGTTGGACTTGTGCAGGACTGGTGAGACACAGCCCCCAAAATCCCCTTTGCTGTATTTCTAGAGCAGTTCTGTGTCTGGATTCTACCCACAGCCTGGTTTGACAAGGGGCAGGAGCCGTCCTGAGCCAAACCAGTTTGGTAACAGCCTCAAGGGAACAAACTGAGGGGAATGTGAGTGTGTGACAGAGGATACGAGGGCATTTTGAGCCCCTTCAGCAAGCACAGCAGTGTGTTCCTCAGTAAAAATCACCTTTTTACCTAGGCTTTCACCACGAGCCCCTACAGCCCAGACCCAAAGGGGAAGCAGGAACCGTGCGATGTTAACGTGGCGTTGCAGCATTAATGCACAGAGCAAACTGGGTACGTGGGAAGAGGTGGGCAGCCAACGAACCCAGTGTGCTGGCACTGGAATGGGACTTCCCAGTCACAGAGCTCTCATGCAAATGCAATAAATTAAGGAGAGAACACGCTGGTCTGCAGACAAAGCAGCATCTTCAGGAGGAAGCCTCAATTCCACAGCAAGTGGATAAAGCAAACAGGGCTGCTGAGAGCCCAAAGCCCCAGGGTGAGGGGTACTCACGCTGTCCACCGCCAGGATTTTGGCCCAGATGAAGACGAGGAGCGGGCGCAGCTCGCGAGCTGAACTCTGGAGCAGCTTCAGCACGTAGGGGAAGATGCCAACGGACAGGGCCTGGGGAATCAGAGAGAAGAGCAGACCCCATCAGCGCCCGGCCTTCCCACAGGCCTCCCCGAAACCTCAGCATCCCACCACATGGATGAGAAATCCGGTGGAAAACAACTTCATGCATTTCTAGCCGAGAGGGGATCCCTGCGTATTTGTCTGTGGCTCGTTTTAATCTTGGACGTCACCGATATTTTCAGACTGGTTTGGTCCACAGAGACACCAGTTACACTTTGGCCTCGTCCCAGCCCGCGCTGCTTCGCGCCTGCCGCTGCGCTGAGCCCTCCTCGCATGGGGCCCTTTGCTCTCACAAGCAAACACACTGCAAAAGCTCCACAATTACAGCTTTTCTCCTGGAAATTCCAGAGGTCTCTCGTCTGACACAGCCTTTTCCATGGGATCAGAGCACACGCAGCACGGGAAACCTTTGTGAACCCCATCGTGACTGCAGATGCCTTCCCCAAGTGCAATGTAAAGGCAATGTATGGGGGGACTACACCCACAGCACTGGGCTCATGGGGGATATTATTGCCCCAAAAGCCAGCAGCAGCCGAGCATCCCCCAGCGATGCAGCCCACAGGCATCACACGACATGGATCAGCCGGAGCAAGGGCCACCTCATATGAGAAGGGCTTAAAATCACTTTAATGCTCCCTTTCTCCTCACCGAGGGCTAAGCTGCCCACAGAGGCGTGCAGAGAGGAGCCTGGGCTGAGGTGGAGGAGCAAGGTAAAGACAACCACTCCAAAGTCCCATCCCAGGGCTATTCCACCAGCGGCCGGTGGTTCATCTCCATCACCGCTACCACCAAGCGGCTCCATTTGCAGCACTGTTTTAAACTGCTCCTCTCTTTAATTCTTATTTATCATCCGCGCTGCGCAAGCCGCTTTCCAAAAGGCAGAAGGCAGCTGCTGCCTCTCCAAAAAGCTTATAAAACCCAGCGACCAAACAGATAAAGAGAAGTAAGCTGAGAGAGCAGCTGACAAACGTGCGCACTCCCCTTTCGTTATTTATTTCACATGACAAACCTTGTTATTTGCCCCCGCTATTTCCTCCTGTTCTGTCCCTTCCGATGTTTTACACTAAACTGTTCCCCAGAGGAAATCCTCTCTGCAGTAATACAAATGAGCAGCTCTTTGGCCTTCTCGATTCACACAAACCACTTTCCTGTTCGGGATGCTCGCCCCATTTCACACGCACGAGGAATGCGCAACCCAGCGGGCACTTGTCAAACCCGGGAGCATCTTCATCCTCCTGCCATAAATCACCACTCGCGTTTGTCGCCTGCGCTGAGGGAAATTAAGGCTTTTACGACAGCGTACGCGCCATCCACGCACCAAGCTCACGGCCCAGGGGCCCAGGTCCAGAAATCTTCCCAGTAAATCGAGCGCCCGCAGCCGATGTACCTGGCTCAGCAGCACCTGCGGAGGAGAGGGACAGCCACGGTCACCGAAACCAACACAAACCCAGCGACTGCAGGGACACACGAGGACCCCAGGGCGGCTGCACGGCTCGGAGCACACCGATGGTCTGACGGGAAAAGCTGGAAGCCAACCCCTGATGGGTGAAAACCTCCACCCCACAGCAGCACCACCAGTGGGTCCCAGTCCTCCCAGTAACGGGGCTCAGGCAGATGCCTCCCAGGAGCGTGGTCGGCTCCGTCCCCACTCACTGCTCCCCTTCTTCTGCTCATTTTGCCCTCAAATGTGATGGTTTCTACACAGCACAGCTCTTCTGCAGCCCCTCTGCATCTCCAGTCCCTCCCTGCCTTCCCCAGCAGAGCAGGAACTCGACTGCGTCCGCAGGCAGGATCCAGAGGTGAGGACAAGGCCTGGCCTCCCATTACTCAAACCAGCTCGGAAGCAGAAAAAGAGGCTTTGCTTTCCTTGGCAAATCGATATAAGAGACTTAGGAGGGAAGCAAAAGGTCACATTAGTCGTTAATAAAAATCTCATTAAAACGGAGTCTGACAACGATAATGAGGTGGCAGTTTACTGGCTCATACCTACCCTGGTGTGAAATATTCACAGACAGACTTGTAGTTCTTAATCTCCTTAACAGATGTAAGATACTGGAACGCGACGTTTAATCCTCAGTTTAAATTGAGAAGCATCCCTCAGCATGGGTCTCGGGGAAAGACTCCTTGATTTAGCTCCCCAATTCCAGCCCCTTCTCAGTGTTTTTCCACGCCGCATACGCAAATCGAATTATTTTTCATGTGTAATATTGAGGAATAGCTAAATCACTTGGCTCACGTCTCAGGCTATGGACGACTGACACTAAAGCTGTGCAGAGAAAGCCCAGAAGACGACAGGAGGATGTGTTCAGAGTAACCCGTTCACCGCTGAGCGCCACAGCTCAGGTCACAGGAGAAAGGACTTGGTGACCCTGCCCTAGTTGGCACCAGCAGATTCCTAAAACTCACTGCGGGGTTGGCACGGTGACCACGGGGTTTAAAACGCCCAGCACAGGAACAGGGGCAGCTGTTTGGGATTAAAGCAGGCACAGAAAGCAGGGCACGGCGGGAGCTGGGGCAGGGCTGAAAGGAGGAACGGGAGCGCGCTGGGGGCTCACACAGACAGGGCAGGTACTGAGATCTGACGGTGCTGGGATCATCCGACCCTCAGCGCACCCACAGATCTATCACGGCTGGGGAAATGGGTGTAATCGAAGAGGGTTTCCAGGTGAAGATACAAACCCACATCTCAGCACTGCCAGCACCCCGCAAGAACCTTTAACGGGATCGTGCCTTATTTTAAAAGCTCCTTTTCATTATTTTCCAAAACAAAAGCAGCCCCCAGGCTCTCTCAGGTTTTATATTCCCACCTCCTGGGCCGATTTGCGCAATAACCTGAAGCCAAAGCTGACACAAATTCTACAGACTTGGGTGAGGATGTGGGGAGTCAATGCACAATTCGTGAGCCTACAGTGAAGTGGTGAAGTTTGTGCTACAGCTCTGCGTCACATCCCTCCTGCCGCCTGTCCATCACTGCTCCTCCACAGAGATAGGGAGGGTAATTACGTCTACACATGCAAGACAGAGATAAATCGGGACACAGGATGATAATTTAGAAGCAAAGTCCCCGTTTTAGCAGAGATCTCTAATAACAAGTGCGGGGTGGAAGGAGGAGGCAGCAGTGGTGTCCCCAGGGCTCTCCTCTGCTCTGTCACTCGGGCTCTCTAGGGCTGCGTGAACTTTAACTCCTCCTTGATGGCTCCTCTGCACCAGGAAGGCGCCTGTGTCTGATCTGCCCCGTGCACAGCGAGAACTCGGCACGGAGAGCACCTTCCGGAGGTCAACAAAAGGACATTTGCAAAGGATCAGCTCCCTGTCCGTGACAAACCCAAGCTCTGCACCGCGGCCCTGGCACTCCAACACCTTCTGGGGAACAGGGGCACTCCTAAAATGGGAAGACAAGTCAACCCTTGTCAGGCTGCAGCAGCGCAGTCCACGCCATCCCAAGGGGTCAAGGCAAAAAGACACTGAAAAAGGGCCTGAAATGCACCCCCTTCCCTCTCTTCATCAATTGTCTCCGACTCCAAGTATCTCAAACCTGTAAACAAGCCCACTACACAATTAATAGGCTTTAATTATAAGAATAATGATGCTGCCCTAGCTCGTTTTTGCTCCAGGAAGCAAAGCAGGCTCCTTTGCCAGGTGACCCCCGGATTCTGCTGCAAGCTTGCGCCACCCGCAGAGCCCTCGGCTGCCCAGTGACTCACTGGGAAGCAGCGAAGTTGGTGCTGGAGCAGACGCCTGTCCCCTCCCGTCACGGTGACAGAGACAAACCACGCTTGTGTGGAGCCAGCTGATCCCCCAGGGCTCGGGAGGCTCAGGGAAATTAGGATTTGGCCTTATGAAGATTGATGGTGCTGTCAGTCACAAAACCCGCTGGTAGCTAACAGGGAAGGTGATGCTGCTTGCATTTAGGAAAAGAAATCACAGGTCCTTGTGGAAGTGACTGGAGCCACGGTCCTTTAAACAGAAAGAGGAGATTTTGCTGCCTGAGAGAGGAGAGATCAGGGCTGCCTTGATGGGGGTTTGTATTTCTGTCAGTGCAAACTCCTGCGGAGGAGAGGGCAAGAGCAGATGGCAGCCAAAATCTGCACCTCGCCATAAAGCACCATTTGAATGAGGCGTTCTGTTTGTCCCAGGTTTACTTCTCCTTTACACACATGAACACTAGCCAGAACTCTACACCCCTTCCAGGCACGGCCCTCAGAGACTTGTTTGTATGTTTTTGCAGCAAAATTTCAGCACTGCATTAAAGGGAACCCTTTCCAGGCTGAACCGTGCAGACAAAGAAGCCGTTTCCACGCTGTTTACGCTGCAGCGACTTCCACTTGCTGCAAACAGAGAGGAGATAACGTCCCTGCCTGCCAGAGCTGGCTCCAAGAGATGCTACAGGAGAGCACACCAAGATGTGAGGAGGCTTTGCTGCTTCAGAGCAAGGGAGGCAGCAGAGCCTGGGTTGGTGAAGCTGCAAAAGGGCTCTAGCAGGAAGCTCTGCTCAATGAGTGAAGGGACGGGGGAAGAAAAGCACTTTGTCTTCATCTGCACAGGCCTGGTAAACACACAACCAGCTCTAATTAGTCCTGGAGGAGCCCACGTCATCTGTGTGCCCAGACACCAGCTGGTTGGCAGTGGGCAGGCAGGGGGACGGACGAACACCCACGGCCGCTCACCTACAGGATGATGGGGGCTGCTCACCTGCAGGATGATGGGGGCTGCTCACCTACAGGATGATGGGGGCTGCTCAC